AAGAAGGAAATACGATGAGAAACGGCTCAGAACCCGAGAAATGGAACCCCCTCATTGCCCGTTGATTTGAGCATTCTCGCTAATATCATCGCTGTGCCCTCTTCAACACTACGCTCTCTCACTATCTAATCACTCGCCACGTATAGACCTGCGGCGAGTGATCAGATGATCGGTGGGCGTGCACTGACCAGCCGCGGCGGGATTAAACCTTAATAGGTCAACGAGGTCAACTCCTCCTGTGCAAATTGTGCTTCAGTTCGCACACTTAGGAGCTCCGCGGGTCCCTCAACCAGGTGAATTCTTCCTAATTCGATTTTCCCTCTGATCGTGAATTCGTCCTTTAAGCCTCCCCACATCATGTCGCATGCACTACCAAAACAATCATGTTAAACGATGGTCCTGGGTAGATTACACGTTCCTATTTTCCCCATATGCAGGTAAGTCCAGAATCACTACTCACATTCAGTTTGCTCTTGACCGGGAAGAATACGCGATTTTTCAATTCGGTGGTCCATCTCCAATGTCTCGGCTCGTACCAAATGTCCCAGCCGAGGCGTGGATTTCAAATGAATACAGGTATTGTTGATCGATGAGAGAGATCACTCCTAGGCGGTCACTGCGCCACTGTCCGGACTGGGATTACATGCCTTACAATCCTGATAAATGTTTTTGCAACTGCAGCATGTGACTGACGTGGGTCCATTTTTGCCTGTAGCAAAACCTAGCAATCACCTGCTGCTGCGGTTGTTCGTGACCCACAACCTCCTCTTCTTGGGACAGCAGTGGCTGCGGTCCACATTGCTTCTCATGCACAAAAAACAATGCTGTGGTTGACACAAAACTCCTGGACACAACTTCCTTTTTTCAGTTTCCCAATGATTCTTCCTCGCGTAAAGTCACCCTAGTGTTGTCTCTGAGACTTGATGTAATCAAGAACACCACTACATTCCACAGTCACTTCTCCCTGCTTAGTTCACCCCTCTTGTCCTGCCCCACGATACCCATCGTTCTGGGTGGCCACCCCATTTAGGCTCCAGATTGAAGCCGGATGCAAGACATATGAGGCCCACTTCGGTGCCCATGACTGTAGGGCTTCTAGCATTATGCCCGTACAGTTTCATCCAATTCCATTTAATTGTTAATATTTAAGTTAGGATAATTTAT